ATGCATTCGTATCACTTTAGATGTGTGGTCACGAACTTGGTCCGTCGGGTAGCGACAGTCCGGCAATCTGGTGTCGGCCAGTGCGTTAATTTCACCCTTTGGGTCGCTGTTTTGAACTAATATTTGTCTTGGATGGCGCTTTTGTCTATACGGCAAGTGGAGACCGACATGGACGTGCCACAAATCTTAAATCGTCCCACTTTATTAGTTTACACATTGCACAGTTTGTCTTTACATAAAACAGCACTACACGCCGTCTTCTTTGACCAGATATACTCTGCCGGGGATTAAGTGAGATGGTGGATTACGTGCCGCGACTCTCAAACTCGCAAGCTCGTTATTAGTTGGCCCCGGTATTAAGGCTACCGGAGACACTGCACGGTTGTAATGAAGACTTAAATTTCATTTTGTTGTGCGGAAGGAACGCTAATTGTTTTCTCTAATTGTTGTTTTTGCTTGAGTCAGTTCGGAATTACGCGATTATGTTGATATCCCCTTAATATGTCGCCGTGTAATTACTGCTGAGTTGACATGTCGCTTTTTTATTTGATTTGTCGAATATCTTTTATACTGCCACATTGTCGCTTTGCCCCCTTTATTATACCTAAGTGCTTACACATAATTTTACTTAATATTAATAAGTCCGCAGCCTCACAAAAAAAATGACATGATGACATGAAAACCAGAGACATGAGTACCTACATTGATCTTCCAGTGGCGGCTCTCCAAGTGACGCAAGTGACGCACCGCTTCACCTAAAATTTCCATTTGGTTGTGCAGTTTAAAATTACTTTTAATTTTATATAAATTTTATAATTTGGGTATAATTCTATATTGAAAATGTATTGTGTTTGTTTAATACGCAGAAATAAACAGAACAGTTGCGCGGTGAACGCCTTCTAAAAAAACATTGTCCTCGTTGAGCGCGAACATCAACCTCGTCCCATACAACGTATAGTAGCATAAGCAAGTGACGCTTCACTTCGTAGCGTTGTTTACGGCGGTTGTCATGGCAACGAGGCGGCCAACACGTGAGTAAACTACGGCGTGGGGGAACGAGTGACGCGGAAATTGAACCAGCATTGCCATCGCCCATCGCCTGTCTTTACTTTAAACAGAGTATACAATACGTCGCCCAGTGCACGATTATACCCAATGTCAGCGTACCTTTACCAGGGAGTAGACCAGACCAGAATGAGGTTAAAATTCTTATAAAATATTTTTCTGCGATGCATTCTCACTGAGTTACAGGGTGTTGTTTACAAAAAAATAATAACAGCTTTCCGCAATAACTCAAAAACCCTTTCAGGGATTTAAGTAATTTTTGGGCAAAGTGTACATCTATTAAAGGTCATTAAAACTAGATGGTGCTTATTTCGATCTGACGCCAGGATCGGCCTAGGCCAACTTGTCCTTAAGGTTATGTCTTCATAACTTTTGCATATCCTAGTTTTATGTGATTTGATTACATTTTCCTGAATGTGCAATCGATTCTGAACAAGAAATTGGCTCTTGTTTCATAGCTCAAAAATGAACCGTTTTCGAGTAAATTAAGTCTAAAGTATCGACTGCATTAGTTCGTAGAAAAATGTATGTAAAGATTTTATTTCTTGTTTTCTAGTAGGTACCTGTCATTATAAACAATATATTTAATATTCGGTTATACGTATAGGGGAACTGAAAATAAAATTGAAAATTATGTAACAAAAAATGTTAGAAAAATGACAATATTAAAAATAAAAATAGGAAACAATTATTTCAATAAATGTTAGAAATGCTGTCCATTTACTTCAATGCATGCCCGATATCGTTTGACCAAGGAATTGTAAATCATTCGAAAATCAAGGGTTGCTTGAATTTACTCGGCGGCTGCAGTAATTTTTTGAAGTAAATCGTCTCTCGTGTTACTGGGTTTGGCATACACCAGTTGCTTCATATGACCCCAGTAAAAGAATCAAGGGGGTTGAACTCAGGGAATCTGCCACATATTAGGTCCATTTTTCCCAATCCAGCGTTCTATAAATTGCTGTCTTCCGTTCTTCCATCGTGTTGGTAGTTCATTTGATTTCGCAAAGCTGAGGGAACGTCATCTAGTACGCCACCAACAATATTTTCTAAAAAATCCGTGTATCTCTCTGAATTCAAACGGTCTACAATAATTTGAGGAGGCAGAATGACTCCGTTGAAGATTCCTCTCCAGACATTTATGGAGAATATTCTTTGAAACGCGGAGGGTCATATCACATGCGGATTTTCAATGGATCGAACATGAAAATTTTTTAAATTATTTATAGCATTTCTCGTAAAAATAGTTTCATCGCTCCACAATATCTTTTGATGGAAATTTTCGTTATTATAGATATTTTCTAACAACCACCTGCAAAATTGTATTCTTTTTCGAAATCGCCTGGATGCAAAGTTTGTACTTTATGTAGGTGGTATGGGTACAGTTCTTCTCGGTTTAAAATTCTCCAGACGCTGCTTCGTGGAATACCTACTTGCGTTGATATTCCTCGGATACTGGTGGAAGGATCATTAACAACAGCAGCTATTACATTTTCTTCTAAAATACTCGCATCTTCCAAATTACCTATTATTATGGTATTTTTAATTTTAACACTCTCGATCTCACGGACTCTTTGGAAAACTCCTTGGAATACTTGCTGTGAAGGTTGCCTTCTGTTTGGAAACATGCGGAGATACTCTTGTGAGGCCACCAATGAATTTCCATGACAGAAACGGTAGACAAATATCATATCGGCATATTCGTTGTTGGAAAATTTGAAAATACACTTCATATCTGTTTTGTAAACTTAATTTCGAGTACCGTAATTAATTTTGACATGTACACTTGTAAACAACTTTGTTTTTTTATAATGACAGGTACCTACTAGATAACAACAAATAAAATCTTTACATGAATACGAATTAAAGCAGGCGATACTTTAGACCCAATTTACTCGAAAACGGTTCATTTTTGAACTATGGAACAAAAGCACATTTTTTGTTCAGAATCGATTGCAGATTCAGGAAAACTTAATCANTCGTTTGACCAAGGAATTGTAAACGCTTCGAAAATCAACGGTTGCTTGAATTTACTTGAATAGTTTCATCGCTCCACAATATCTTTTGATGGAAATTTTCGTCATTATCGATATTTTATAATAACCACCTGCAAAATTGTATTCTTTTTCGGAATCACCTGGATGCAAAGTTTGTACTTTATGTAGGTGGTATGAGTGCAGTTCGTCTCGGTTTAAAATTCTCCAGACGCTGCTTCGTGCTTCGTACTTGCGTTGATATTCTTTGGATACCGGTGGAAGGATCATTAACAACAGCAGCTATTACATTTTCTTCTAAAATATTCGCATCTTCCAAATTACCTCTTATTATGGTATTTTTAATTTTAACACTCTCGATCTCACGGACTCTTTGGAAAACTCCTTGGAATACTTGCTGTGAAGGTTGCCTTCTGTTTGGAAATATGCGGAGATACTCTTGTGAGGCCACCAATGAATTTCCATGACAGAAACGGTAGACAAATATTATATCGGCATCGGTTCATTTTTGAACTATGGAACAAAAGCACATTTTTTGTTCAGAATCGATTGCAGATTCAGGAAAACCTAATCAAATTACATAAAACTAGAATATGCAAATGTTTGAAGACATAACTTTGAGGACAAGTTGGCCTAGGCCGCCCCTGGCGTCAGATCGAAATAAGCACCATGTAGTTTTATTGACCTTTAATATATATACACTTTATGCGAAAATTACTTAAATCCCTGAAAGGGTTTTTGAGTTACTGCGGAACGTTGTTATTATTTTTTTCTAGACAACACTCTGTAACTCAGTGAGAGTGCCTCAAAGAAAAAATTTTTATAAGAATTTTAATCTTATTTTGGTCTGGTAAATTTTTGTACGCTGACACTGGGACACCCTGTATAACGGTTCTTTGTTAATATTTGTTTTGTATCAATAATTGTAGAAATGTTTCCTATGTATTTAAATACCATGTACATTTAATAAACTCTACCTAATATTAACCAAGGAATTCAAAAACACAATAATATACAGGGTGTTCCATTTAAAATAGCAAAGTTATGTATCTCCCACGCGAAATGGAACACCCTGTAAAGCTAAAAATAATATTTTTTACATGACCCACATGATTCCAGACAACTTTTATTAAAACCATTTTTTTTTATAAATTTGACAGTTACAAAGTTTGAGAATCCCTCTTAGATGAAACACCCTGTATAATACGATGAAGAATTTTGTAATACCTAGAATATATTCAAATAAAACAAAAAATACTGCATTTTAAAGCTATTTCCAAACATGCAGGATTAGAAACACCATTTGGTTGGTTTTAAATAGTTCTATACTCGGATACAACGTTGCCAAATTTGTTACAAAATTTATTAAATTGTCTTTAAAACATAATCTATTGCCTGTAATGGTTTTGGTAGTACATAGTTATACAAGGTATATGAGGTTTATTATTTTATACAGGGTGCTTTATAGACATATTATGTTAGCTCTACAAATTTCACACGATATTTTATCTGATGTTTCAAATTGAACACCCTGTAGATAATGGTATAATTTTATATATCTTGTTATTCTCTATAAAATTTTTAAAGTTATTTGAACATTGCAGAACACGTTTAAATGAGAATAAAACATAGATAAGAGGTGTTAAGGAAAATTAAATAAAAACAATTTTAAAAAATCTTTTTTCCCGCTATTTAGAGGTTGAAAGCTTATTTTCTGTATATAAATTATTCTACTTGATCCTAGAAACCTTATATTGTGTGATGATAAAATGAATTATTTCAGTAATAAATAAAAACGCAATTTACTCTTGAATTTTATTAATAACTAACTGAACTTACTACAAAAATTAGGTTTTATGAAATTACGATTTTTTTTATATTTGTTGGAGATCCTTATATGGGTTCTTAGCAAATTTCTTTAAAATTTGTTTTTCGTTTCAGCTCCGCCTTCTTCTGTGGAAATCTTAGATCACAGACACAACTCCAAGATAGAAATAAAGGAAAACCAAGAATTTCATTTGGAGTGCAGAGTAAGAAACGCTAAACCGGCAGCAAAAATTGTCTGGTACCGAGGAAACGTAGAAATTAATATACGTAAGTAATATTTACCTTGGTTCTAAATTCAGTTAAACAATTACATTTTAACTTTCAGCGAACCGAGAAGATCAAACTATCGAAGTCCCTGGCAAAAATGGAGACAAGCGCGTTTCTCGCTACGACACCCATTCCAGAATATCCCTCAAACCTACAGCTGAAGACGATTACGCCGAGTACACCTGTGAAGCTAGACATGAAGCCTTGTCCCAGGACATTCCAATGAGAGCTACTGTTCAACTGAGTGTACTCTACCCTCCAGGATTGCCTTATATTGAGGGATATACAGAAGGAGAGACAATAAGACGAGGGCAAACTGTCGAATTAGTTTGTAGAAGTCGCGGTGGAAACCCTCCTGCTCAACTGATTTGGTACAAAAACGGAGAACAGATTCGTATGGCTTATCGAACTGCTGGAAGAGTCTCGGAAAATGTATACACATTCACTGCAGACGCGAGTGACAATAAAGCAAGATATAAGTGTGAGGCTAGCAACATAATGTCCAAATCTCCTTTGAAGGCTGAAATTGACATGAGCGTTTTGTGTATGTAACTCGAACACCTTTTTCATTATTATTTTAACTTTTTGTGATTTTAGTTTCACCAGCTCATGTGACTATTTCTGGACCTACTGAGGCAAGAGTTGGAGACCCGGTACCTCTTACTTGCACCACCGCAAATTCAAATCCTCCTGCAGAAATTAAGTGGATGGTAGCTGGTAGACAAGTACGTAATGCAACATCAAGAACAGTAGTTTCACCAGAAGGTGGGTGGATAACTACGTCAAATATAACAGCAGTTGTTGAACCTAATAAACGCAGTTTGGTTGTTATTTGCCATGGTCTTAATATGCAGCTAACTGAAAATGTAGTCTCTACACATACAATCAATGTGTTGTGTACGTTTAAAATTCTCCTTTTTGCCTTATAATCCTAAAAATTGATTGTTTATTTATAGATCCTCCAAGTCAGCCTTTTATTCATGGTTATACGGAGGGTTCACATATACCATCAGGAACTGTTCAGAAGATTTCATGCACTTCATCTGGGGGAAACCCACTGGCAACCATTACTTGGTACAAAAATGACAAGAAGATTCATTCAACCGTAAAGACAACTGATAAGTCTGTTACTGCCGAAATAACTATTTTAACAAATGTAACTGACAACGAAGCAAGGTACAGATGTGAGGCAGCAAATTCTGCTACTGAAATACCGTTATTTGAAACCATAACAATGAATGTATACTGTAAGTTATCAAAGTTATTAGTAATGTCATTTTATAAATACTGTTCCATTTGCAGTTCCTCCGGATCATGTTAAAATCAGACAAGAGCCAGCTGAACTCACACCAAACGAAGAAGCAACTTTAATTTGTGACTCTAGTTCTAGCAACCCACCAGCAAAATTGTCTTGGTGGAGAGAGGGCATTCCAGTTCAAGGTTTAATCAACACCACAAAACCAGGGTTACACGGTGGTACGGTTTCAAGTATTGAAATGAAGATTAATGTTACGGAACAGATGAATGGGATGGTATATACTTGTCAAGCTAATAACGAAGCTTTACAAAGATCAGTGCATGATGCTATAACCCTTCAAGTTTTATGTAAGTATTCAGCTCTTTATTGAGTTTATAAATACTTTAGAACTTTTTTTATTAGATAAGCCAGTGTTTGATAAAAATAATGAGGAAGCAGTAACTGGGATAGAAAATGAACCGTTGATTATTACGTTGAAAGCAGAGGGGAATCCACAGAACATTGCGTATACATGGACTAAAGACGGTTTGCCCATAACGCAGGCATCCTCTTCTACGGGAATGGAAAGGATTGTATCGGACGGTCCAGTTTTGAATATTACAAAACTAAGTAGGCATGATGCTGGAACTTACAGTTGTGAAGCTTTGAATTCTCAGGGTAGCAATCTAGCTCAAGTTAATGTCACAGTTCAATGTAAGTAATATGAACTTACCAATCATCAGTTTTACATTTATCATTGTAATTGTAGATCCGGCCTCAATAATACAAATCAGTGAGAATATCATAGTTAACCCCAAAGAAGATGCTACTCTTTCCTGCACTGCTGATGGTAACCCAATGGCAGATGATACCATTTCTTGGAAGAGAGCTGACTTCCCAGAATTTGAAGCTAGAACTTCCGTTATGTATGACAAAAATGGCACTTCATACCTTAGAATATCTGGTGTAACTAGAGAAGACCTCGGAAACTTCCAGTGCATTGTTAACAATGGTGTTGGTAATTCCACTACAAAAGAAGTGATGCTGATTGTGAAACGTAAGTCCCAAGTAATAAATTGATGTTTTAAAGTTATTTATGGTTCTTTTATTGCAGATAAACCAGAAATAGATGAGCACCCAACGTATCTGAAATTTGCTAGTGACGCTGGAGATACTGGCAAATTAATCTGTAAAAGCCAAGCATCTCCTTTAGCCAGATACACCTGGGCTAGAAACGGTTCCCCGATAAGTGCAAATACTACTGGAAAATACTACACCACATACAAACAAGTAAGGTTATCGTTAACATACCCTCAGTATCAATTTTCATCAATTCTGATCATTTTAAGATTGACCAGTTGTCTTCGGAATCTACGCTCTACATTACTCATATAACTTCAGCAGACTACGGCAATTATGAATGCGTGGCAAGGAATGAACTGGGATTTTCAACGATATCTCCCCGGTTGGAGGTGACCTCAGCACCAGACACCCCTTCACTTTTAACCGTTCTAAATGTAACCCACGATAGTGTTACACTTAATTGGACACCCGGATTCGATGGGGGTATGAAAGCTTCTTACCGGATCAGGTACAGAAAAGTGAATGATGATGGATACAAATATGAAGATGTCGTTGGAAACAATGTAACAACCCATGTTATCAAAGGTTTAGAAACAAATAGTCAATATGTGTTTTCAATCATGGCGTCGAATAAATTGGGGACCAGCAAGTATATTCCTGACCTGCTGTCGGCAAAAACTGCAAGTATGTATAAATTTGAAGCAAAAATAAGCTTATGTAGACCATTCAGTAGTGTTCAGTGGAGTTTTTTTCAGTTTCACATGTTTTGAAAATAAGAAGTAACAATTAAAGGGTCAAAAGAATTTCCGAAATTTTTCCGTGATTTTTGACAGACTGTATTTAGGTGAAAAATGGTCGTATCGGGAATTAAAACAAAGCATTTTGAAGCTCTAAGATTCTAGTTTTTAGATCTTTCAGTCGAAATTCTTTAGAAGCTACGGTTATCATACAATTCTAAGAAATAGCGTGACAAAAATATTTTGCAAATTTTCTTTTTGTTTTTGTTAATTTTTTGCATTAGTGTATATTTTGATTATCACTATCAATGTGTGAAACTAAAATTAAATGGCAGTGATGCAAAAAAATGTGTCGTAACTTAATCGCAGTTGAAAATTTTTTTTAATTAAACGTGAAACATTAATATTTAAAAGATTTTTGAAAAGTTTTTTATCTGAACACCTAGGGCAATAGAGCTTACAATAACCTGCATATTTCCCTTTCTTAAGTTAACAATTTGATAAAAATGGATGGTACACCATTCAAATCACTCTGCTCTTTCCACTTAATTCTAGCTAAATTATAGCTAATTTGGTAGAACTACCAAAAAAAATTTAACCATCCATTACTAAACTACTTTACTTTTTGGTTAAGAATTTAATAGATTTATATACATATTCAACTTTCTTTATTTACTAACACCAAGAAATTTTTCTTTTTTTTTCATGCTTACCTTCTAATAAACTAACCCTAGACAAAGCTCCTTCAACATATACTTCCTCAAGCTTGGATGAGAAAAATTTGAAAAGTTTCCCTGGCTTTCTTATAATAGTTGGTACTATCATTGGGATCCTTCTAATACTAATGAACGTTTTACTAATTGGGTGCTGTTTACATCGAAGATCAAAAAAACGAGTTACAGGTAACTAATTCTATTTTTCTTTCTTTTAAATCAGTGCTAATCGACCAAGGTGAATCTGCCATACCTGAAGATTTGTTAGAAAAGCAGGATTTACCTAGGATAGTTATAATTAGTATTTCTGTTATCGGTGTTATCCTTTTGTTTATCAATATTGGTTTAGTAGCTGGCTGCATGCTCAAAAGGAGAGCAAAAAGACTGAAAGGTTTGTTTTATGTTCTTTTTAATTTCTTTAATTTCTATTTTACTCAATTTTTTTATTATTTTATAATAACATACAGGGTGTGGCGTGTATAATCTATAAAAATTAAACTACTGCTTTCTAACGATATTTGTAATAGAAAAGTTTTATACGAAAAAGTTCTATTTTTGCGTTTTTTTTTTCATAAATTAAAGTGCAATTATGGATCAAAATATTTTCTCTGGAACGGTCCTGTCGGTGTGCGTACAATGAGTTACATGCTGTAGACCAACCGTGTAAACAAATCGTCATTGAAATATAGAAAGATACTTCTTAATTTTTGGGAAATTTTTCAATGCAAAAGTACAAACTAAGGAAAATATATATTTAAAAAAAATACTGATATTTTCTTATTATAATAATTAATAGTAATTACTATCTTAAATGCACTGTTGTTACTGCAAGAGTTCGCTAACAAAACCACATCCGTAAGCATCTGTAGTTGCCAACTGCGTGCACTAAACAAACTCCATAAAATATGGAACAAAATTAAATAAAAGCGCGGATACAGGCATGGCACTGACCTAGTCTACTTGAAAAAGATGATAGGGGTAAAATAACTGGCACCTTAAGATGCTATGTACGGTACGAGATGAGGTTGTCGAGTACTAATTGTGGGGTCTTCGTCAAGATTTTCCAACACTGCATCTTCAACATTAAGGTTCACTTGCTGACCACGTCTTTCTCCTCGAGGAATAACACTTACCGTATCTTGCAGCCACTGTAGGATTGTATTTGCACATGGGGGGTGACATTATAGCCATCGTTCCGGTTACAATCTAGTCACCGTGAGCGATTTTCTCCAGCTGCACCATACACTAACACCATATTGACACGTTCGGAAATAGTAAATGCATTGTTTTCTCGGTTCATTGTAAAACTAGTTTGTGCACAAACTAAAAAATTAAGCAAAGTAAAAAATAAGAATCTCGTTTTTAATGTAATCGGCATGTTATTCTTATTTTTTACTTCTTTATAAAAATTACACTGTCACTATCGTGGAATTACAAAATAAAAACTTGTCTGGAATCTTTCACTTGTTGACACTGATGGGTCGATGGACGATGCTTAATATTTGATAATTAAGTAAATAATGAATTCAATACAAATACAAAATCAGTTGACTACACAATTTTTTTGACAGTGTAACCTAACCAGTATTAGATTATACCGACTTAAATTATAAAGGTTACATCTCGGGTCGCATAAAAACTTTTCCAAAGTTTTTAATAAATAACACAGGGTTGGCCTTCATTTTCGTTGAATAAGTGAACTTTAATTTACAAAAAAAAACGCAAAGATAGAACTTTTTCGTATAAGAGTTTTCTATTACAAATATCATCAGGAAGCTGTAGTTTAATTTTTATAGATTATACTTGTCACACCCTATATTTAAAACTGCAATACTATTGTTGCATTTAAATATTTTTCTGTTAACAGAACAAAACAATCAAACAAGCAAATCTGCTACAATAGAGATGTATGCCCCAAGCAGCTATAATGACACAGTGACAGGAGAAACTCTTTCTTCTGTAAGTGAGAAAAGTGAAACCTACAGCAATGAGGGAAGCAATAATGATTACGTGGTAAGCTATGCTTATATAAATATATTTATTTTTTGATGTTTACTGTTTTCTAATCTTTTACATTCTTCCACTTTGACCATGATTCATTAGGAGCAAACTTCCTCTTTCATGAAAATTGTCAAAAAAAAATAGTCACGTTCATTTAAAGTTTCACCTTTCAAATTGTCTATTAAAACAAATTTGAATTAAATTGCATTGGTAATTACTAATAAAACAACTAATAAAAGAAAAACAACTTAAAATAGGCCGCTACTTTTTTGAAATAGTAAAATAAATTTTAAAATAAGTATTTTTCCTGTTTCTGTAAAAGTAACTAATTTGATTGCTACATCAAAATGTAACAACTGTTCGAAATATCATTTAAATCAAACTGAATTAACCCGATTGATAATTTTAGATGAAGAAATGTTCCTCTACCATTCCACAAATCTAAAAATCTGTAATCGATGTAAAAATAACGTAATATATTCTATATTTTAGGATGAGGGCCGTAAACCCACAGCAAATTCGTACCTAATGGACCATCAACCTGACTATCCAGGTGCGTACCCCGTGTACGAAATGCAGATGCCTATGCAGACTGGGGTCAATATGGCCCACAAGACCCACACCCTGCCCCATCCCCATCACCACCACCACCATCCTATGCATGACCAGAGGCCGCGAGCCAGGGACGACCAGAGTCTCGGCTATCACGGCGGCATGTCAGGTAACTAACAATAACAATCGACACTTAATTTTAACTTTCCAGAGTGGTGTCTTAACATTTTGTGATAATTTAGGGTGGGATTGTTTGAATTTGAAAGAACTAGCTCAAAAACTACAGTTTTTTTTGTTAAGCTTTGATGTAAAATCTCTTAGTGACAGAATATTTTGATTGAAGAATCAAAGAATTTTTTTCAATTTTAAATATGATAGTGACAAAAATTGATAATTTGAATTATTTAAGAAATATCTTTTCTAATTGCTAGACCTAAATATATTAATGTATGACTAGAAAGATATCTTATAAGTTAGTAGGTATATATTTAGTATATTTAGTGTATATGACCTATATGTGGCATATGACCAATACAATCTCCTAAATTATTACTCACTGACCACTCTACAAATCCATAATATCCCGCATGGTTGCTTAACTGCTGCGAATATTATATTTGGCATGGGTTTTTTTTTTACTTATCCTTCTAACATGTTATGGAATATTTAATATAACTGCTAAATTACTTTTATGTAAAATGAAACACATCATATTTTATCTGAAAATACCTATATTAAAATGAAGACATGTATTATATAAGACAAATATACAGGGTGATTTATATTCTGTGTGCAAATGTGTTAGTTGGAGGTTTTTTTCATTACATTTGAGAGACAGTTTTAATCGACTAGTGAAATGTTACGTATGCTATCACACTTGTGTCATTGATCAAGAATTATGTTGATGGTATTATGGAAGGCATACACTAGGTCTTGTTCACTATTACTCATTGGTTGAGCATCATCAAGCTCTTCATGTTTCCACATAAAGTCTGTCAGACTTCATTCATTTACCATCCAATCCACTTCATGGCTAAAATGTAAAATAGTTCTGTCATGTTTGAACTGTGCCATCATATGTATGTTTCGTAGAAACATTCAGTTTATATTGTTACTTAGTCTCATCCTAAGATTTATCAAAAATCTGCATTGTACTTGAAGTAGTCGGAAAACATGTAGATTTTCTTGACTCCAAACATTATCCAAAATTCTTTGATTTGTAAACATAATTTCGTTCACCTAAAGAATATGTTGTAGATACTTTGTTTTGATCTTTCCAAGCGCTCTTCAACAGTCACTCTCAAAATTCTTGCCAATGTACAAAATACCAGGTTCCAGAACTTACTTAGTTGTGGAATAATTTGTGAGGTATTCAACGAAGTATTTTCTTCTGCCAATGGCACAAATTCATCAGCTGCAAGCTGAAATATTGCACTGCCTCCATAGACTGATACAAATTCTATAAATAAACTGTTTAAACAGTCTGTAAATCCGTCAAGTTTGCTTCAAATTTATAAATTTGCTGTAGTATAGCACTGATCGCAATTGCTGCTCTAAAAAAAAGTTGCCATTGTTACACTTTTACATCACAATCTTATTTGATATGTTTGTAAATACAAATAACAGCCGAGTCCAACTAAAATAACTATAAAACAGATTAGAGTGTTGAGTACACACACTTCACAAGTGATCTCTATGATCTTTCCCGATGTATTAGCCGACTACTAGCAAATGGTACTTTACAGACGTAACATTGGGAATTTGTAGAAATATAAAAATAATGAGCTTGAACTGTCCTGAAATTTATAAGTAATTGCCTGTGAAATTTCAAGAGTTTTACATGGGAAATTCATCTACTCTAAAATATTTAATAAAACACCCTGTGTATATTATTAAATAATAATTAAGTAATAGAATTTCAAATTTTTCGATATGCTTTACAAAATTTGTCATATCATTTCAGATATAGTTAGGTATTTTATACATTTCAAATGTAACACTTTTTTTGATATTGATACCTATTATTAAAACAAAACAAATAAAATTGATTTATTATAAGGAATTTCAAATCGTTAGGATCTTTCTAACACAGTAGAACATGATCCAGTATAAATTTTATTGTATTTCAACTAATTTTGATTATTTCGAGTGTCTTTTAATCTCTCTATAGGCCAATTAATAGAGGTTTTGTTTGTGATATAAATACTAGTAGCACTGTATATCCACTGCCCTCATCTCCCGACCTTCCTCCACTATTCGACCGCGTACACGCGCTCGGGCGTTTTTGAGCATGTTTGGAGGAATTTTTCACCTATTTCGCATCATTTTATCGGAATATTAGAATATACGTTTTGTAGTATTGAACTTCTACTTTGAAAATCGGCTGAAATATTAAAATCGGACTACCTCCAACCTCCAACACATACAGAAACTTTGCAAAATAGTGCACCAAAAAATTCAAATTGCAATTGAAGGGCTTAGTGTGAAACAATGACGAGCCACCCTTTCTTGAAATATGACTTGTTTTAATTTTCAAGTTTTGCAAGAGTATAACAAGCCACATAATGAATATTAAAAGAAAATGATTATTCATGATGATTATTAAAGTACATTCCATAAACATCTATACTTCTGTAACTAATGTAGACAAATTCTGAGAAAACGAAGCTAACGTTGATTTTACACATTTTAAAATTTCCAACAATTTTGCATTTGTGGCTTGTCATTATTTTACACTAAGCCCTTGAATTGTTTCAAACTAATGGTCCAGCAGTGCACATTTAAAAAATAATTCACTACTTTTGTGCACTCTACAACTTAAAAAATGGCTGAGTAATGAATTTTTTAAAAACGTAAAGTTTTTCGGTTTTTCTGGGTTTCCTTTGTTTCTAATTATCCGTTTTATTCGAATTTCTATTCTCTACAAATTATCTCTTTATAGCTTTCAGATTGCTTCGTTACTGTAGGTTTTATAAGCAAAAAAAACCTAAAAATAGTGTTTTTTACATAAAAATGTTTATAAATAATTTATTAATGGTAAGTTGGAGTAGGAAACACATAAGACTACAGACTGTCTTTTATATAATGGCACAATCCATTTGCTACTAGTATTTTTGTCACAAAAACGCTGATTTAATGCTGTATTGATTGGCCTATCTAGCAGATTTTCCCGGAGATGAGCAATATTTACTGCTTTACACTAACGTTGTGCATATTTAATTTATGTACTATAGCAAAATACATTTTACAAATTGTACATACCCACACAGCACAATGACATTCGTAGGATGTACTGAGGATAACTTCTCAGGATGTATAGGATATCCTCGGATAGGTACACGATTACCTCAGGATGTACCAGGGATATCCAAATGGAACGTCCCGGGATTTGCTCTTAACGTCCTGAGGACATCCGCCTGGCTATCTGCAGGAGATTATCAGGTTATCAATGATCAAATGAGGACGTCCTAGGATTTACTGTGTATGTCCTCAAGACATCAGCCGGGCTATTATCAGGTTATCAGTGGATNTAGTAGAAATAGGAAATGTTAATCGTTTTTTATTTATAGGAAAATCTTCTTATGTAAGTGCCCCTTCCCCTGCTCCGCCGGCCGACGGCTCGTACTACAACATGTCGGATCGCTATCTGTCCTACCCACCACCGCTGGACTTCCAAAACCCACCACCCATACCAGCCCACCCTCACATAGGACACGCACACGCACCAGTAACACCTCCATTGCCATCGAATGGATCCCTTCTACGACACCAGAGAGGTGTGGTGCCACCCCCGGATGTCCTTCACAACACCAGCCAAAATCCTCAAATTTTGCAGGCTCAAACACTTGCTCAAAAACGTGAGTTAACTAGTTTTGGTAATGGTTACGGTGTTAATGAACAAGAGGGACACCTGGTGTGAGACGCGGTGGAAGTTTTGTATGTGTTGTAAAAAAATAGTTATTCGTAAACGAGATGTGTTTGCCCAGTTTTATTAGGTGTTACATAATAAGACTGCATACGAAAGACTTTCCGATGTACTAAAATAAATGTGATTTGTATAAGTTGGTAAGAGAGCAATAGGAAATGGACTGATTGCTTCGAGCAAATAAAAACACTTTTTTAAATAATCACTGGAAGAGATTACCTTTCACTTACAAGAAGACTTTATCAGAAGACATTTTAATTAGCTACTTATAGCAGTCGTGCTGTATAAATTTATCTTTCAATTTTGAAAGAGTAGTTATGCAGTCTCGTTTTCAAGGAAGAACATTGTTACTCTTTTTTTTTTCAGGTCTAATGACTGAAAATTGTGTTGCTAACTGATAATCAGTTGTAGATAATTATAATAATTAATGTGATCTTAAAATATGTGAATTAACCAAGTTATATATTTTCAGTTACAATACTTATTACAATACTTAATATTACAGTTTAATTTCCTTCTCTTCTTGTTTAGTGTACAGATGTATTACAGAATTACAACATGTTTTTGTACATAATTTTTTTGAATTTAGGTTTTTAATTTCATGAAAATATTTTACTAGTCCAATCAATCAACCAAAGTGTGTTTCATTTCTTTTGTAAAAATTCTTTTATCATTATTAATTTTAGTGTTTGTTTTGTTCTACCAGTTAGGCAGAATATTTTATTTATTTCTTCTTTCGCATATTATTACACTACTACTTTTGTTAGTGATGTACTTTTTTAATTTTGTATTATGTTCATCAAGAATAAATATTTTCTTATTTATTTTTTTTTGTTTATTTTATACAAACACTAGTAAATGAACACTGCAAGTTTTACAGTTTATAAAGCAATTTCGCCATGAAAAAATTAACATGGAGTTTAAAGAATAAAAATTCAGAAAATTTGTACTAAGTAAAGGTGTCCTGTGACTAATTTAAGACTGACTCCTAGATTTTTAACAATCTTTCTCAAATTATTGGAAGTAGTTCGTTTTATTTTTTTTTTTTGTAAAAGTTCAATTGTGATCTACTTAGATGAAGAAGTATCTGATGCTAATGATGTGTTTACTTTGCAATTTGATTAATTAAAAATTTATATTGAAGTTTAGGTCAGTGGCAGATGATGAAAATTAAAGTTGCCATAGCAGGAACCCTTCTAGTGAGGAAAGAATTTTGAGAGAAATTTGACAAATAAAAATTTAAAAAGTGGTTACCAACCCTGAGATCTTGGAGGTTGGGAATTAGATGTTTTTTTTTCACAACATTAAGTTTTCTTAGTACATAGTTATACCTATTTAAATTTTAATTTGACACTAACATCCAATTTTTCAAAATTTGTGGTGATTAACAAATATGATAATTTTGTGAAAAATAAAAAAATTAAATTCATTGATTATGAAAAAAAATATTTGGCACATACACGGTGGGCCATCAGTGTGAGAAAGTAAAATAACTCCCTTGTTACTCATAATACAGAAAAAAGTTTATATAAAAGTTATACGGAATCAAGAAACCTATACTACAAAATTAATTTGATAATACAGGGTGACGAATAAAAACGGGACACGCCAAATATTACATTTTTTAAATGGAACACCCTGTACATTTTTAAACATATGGATTTCCGAGAAAATTCTATATATGGCAATAATATAAACAGTTTATCATTTTAGTACGGGGTTGCTTAGTTATGTAGAAAATTCTTCAAATTTTGGAAAAAATATGACCTCGAAAAAGTTGTATTACCTTTCAACTACCAACACTTGGAGCCAAAATATTTGATAGAGTTATAGGCAAAAACTCCTGTATTAGCTAATATCGATATTTTACACGGGGCATTTTTATAATACGATCATTTTTAGAAAGTTTAAACTTGATTTTCTAAAATTTTTCAAATGGAACACCCTGTATTTTATTGAGCTATTTTATTCACATATTGGTCCACTTTAACTTTTATTAAGCATGTTCTATATCTATAATTGTTAGTTTTTAAGATATAGCAACATTTCTGAAAAAAACTTAATTTTTATTATTTTATAGAATATGACATATAAATATTAACTAATAAAATTAACCCAAAATGGAATGATAAATTATGAACAGACAAGTTGATACAATGTGATAGTTTTTTCCAAAGCCATTTCGTGTGACTGAAAATAATAAAAATTAGGTTTTTTCAGAAATGTTGATATATCTAACAACTTTAGGTGCAGAACATACTTAATAAAAGTTGAAATGGACTGATATGTGAATACTATAGAACAATAAAATACAGGGTGTTCCATTTGAAAAGTTTTAGATAATCAAGTTTGAATTTTCTTAAAATGATCGTATTATAAAAAAAATGCCCTGTATAAAATATCGATATTAGCTAATATAGGAGTCTTTGCCTAACATTTGCCTATAACTCTGTCAAATATTTTTGCTCCAAGTGTTATTAGTTGAAAGTTAATACAACTTCTTCGAGGTCATGATTTTTCCTAAATTCGAAGTTTTCTACATAACTTGGCAACCCCGCACTAAAATGTTAAACTGTTTTCTCAGAAATCCATATGTTTAAAAATATACAGGGTGTTCCATTTAAAAATTGTAATATTTGGCGTGTCCCGTTTTTACTCATCGCCCTGTGTGTTTCAAATTAATTTTGTCCTTTAGGTTTTTTGATTCTGTACAACCTTTATATAAACCTTTTTTTCTGTATTATGAATAACAAGGGAGTTATTTTACTTTCTTGCACTAATGATCCACCCTGTATACAGGGTGTTGCAAAATGTTGTTCAGAGAATTCTAGAGTAGATTCTACATAGAACATACGAAAAAAAATTATAAACGTAAGTTCACAAATGCTTCATTTTTGAAATATAAGGTGTCAAAAAAATTTAAAAAATATGTTTTTTATTGATAATTTCTAAATTTTTCTTTGGAAATCGTTTAAATTTGGGCCATTAGGGGCGTAGATATAGGGGGTTCCTATTGATTTTTGACCAGTAAATCTACACCACTGGTCTTTCTACTGTTTTTTCCAATGAAAAATATATAGAAATTATCAATAAAACATATTTTTTTTTGACATCCTCTATTTCGAAAACAAAGCATTTGTAGACCTACGTTTGTAGGAATTTTTTCGTATTTTTGGATGTATAATCTGCTCTAGAATTCTCTGAATAACATTTTGCAACACCCTGAGTATGCAGTCCTCATAGCGATCACAGGGTGATAAACTCTTATTTGAATTCCTTATTTTGTGAATTGAATTCGAAATTTTTTTATCACAAAAGCTCTCTTTTTGGCTGTAGAAATTATTTCCCTAAAAAAGCTATGTGACCACTTCAATTTTCACTACCCTTCATTGCCTATATTAAAAAAAAGAACTACTTTGATTTTTCTCACAGTTGGTATAACAAAATATATCTAAGCTCTAATCTAATTTATTAATTATTTTTAAAATGTAGCGCAATTTTTTCAAATACGTTATTAAGTAGGCAGAAGTTTTCATTTGCAATTAAGGTGCCTACAAAGAAAGGTGAGTTCTGTGAATCTTTATTTCATTTTCTGTCATCAAACTAAAAAACTATTGTACAAAAAAACTGCTAAGTTGTGATATAAAGCAATTAGTTATTAAACGAAATTGAAATTTTGGGACCCCCAAACATTTGGAAATTGTAAAAGAAAGAAAATTAAATGTCAGAGAAAGAAAGTTTGGTAATGTTGGCAGTTATATATAATTACATATAATTTCTTGTATTGAAAGAATTTAAAGAAACATTAAAATAAAATTAAAAAAACAAAATGTTTGAATATATTTCAATACCTTTTGCAAAAATTTTATATTTCTCAAATTTATGAAAAATTTTTACTTGGTAATATTTTTCTTAAATAAACTGAACATTATTTCTTTATATAAATAAATAGACAAACTTTATCTATACCTATTCTACGACCTCAAACAATTCTATACTAAAAACGTCTATTCTAATGACCTCTAACAACTCTATTCTAATGACCTCTAATGACTGTTCTAATTGCCTATAATGACTGTTTTAATGACCTCTATTCTTGTAATGACTCTATTCTAATAACCTCTAACAACTATTCCAACGGCCTCTAACAATTCTAATTTAATAACTTTTAGCAATGACCTCTAACGACTCTATTGGAATGACCTCTAATAACGTTTAATAATCTATATCCTAATGTCAAAACATCTCTATTCTAATAACTTGATTCTAATGACCTGAAACAACTCTATTCAAACAACCCTACTAAGTAGGTAGCATAAACACAATGTGTTTTCAAATAAATTTTCTGAAAATTGAATATATTTTTAGTAAAAATTGTTCAGTATATTGCTACAGATAAAGATAAGTTAATAAGTTTTACAAATCAGCAAAATTTTTGTTTTAACTCTAAGGGATGCAACTTTTTTGATATTTTCTCATACAAGAAGTGTATTCAGTAAATAAATAAATAAATAATACAAATTGGAATAATGGATTATCTGGAACTCAAATTAAGAAAATTTGTTACAAATGCATACAGTTTGAGAGTAAAAGAAATAAAGTACTGCACCTATAATTCAACTTATACTTTTACAAAATGGCTAAAAATTTATCAACTTGTAGTATTTATTTACTATAATCGGACAAATAGGGTAATCGATAATACGAAAGTAGGTAAATCAGTAGCAAATTTAATTTAAAAAAAATTCAAGTAGAGAATCATAATAAACAATCATTTTTTAGGTAACCATAATTGAATTTGTAACATAATCTAATAAGAGCTTGTATTTCATTTGTTTTATCCATTCGTTACATATGTATATACTTGTAAGATAAATATATGAAACTAATACCTTCCATATTTGCCAATGTAATAATTATAATAACTGTAAAAAGTGCCTTTAAGATTATGAATACAATCTGCCGTTGTAACAACTACTGTAGTGATTTTTAGACTTTATTTCCCCCTAATAAATGTTGTGCGCAAAGTTATCTTTTGTTCGAAACCACTATACAAATTTTTAAATAACAATTAAAAATTTGGTAAACTGTACATAACGGTGGTTATGGTAAAATAGTGTAATACAAAAATGTTCTCCGTTAAGGGATATTTCTGTATTACATTTAGTTTACTTGTTATATTTCTACTTGATGCATACTTTCTGTTTTTATTGTTATCATAATAAAGGATGAATGCTCATGTAAATTTGAAAAACTGTTATAATGTCCAGTCAATATAAAACTGTATGTATGTTTATCTCATACTGTATATTGTTAAAATTTATGATTATTAAATGCTCATAAACATACAATTTGTCCAGTTTATTTCATTTATATGATTGTCTGAATCAGTCATAGAATCTGGATTTCAGAATTATAATTTTTTATCAGCATCAGAAGTATATAGTCTTTCCGATCTCAATTGAAGGCCAGAGAGCTAGGCAGTATGTACCAGGTTCGGTCGCAACGCACGCAGCACATTGAAATATTTGAAAAACTTGTTCCCATATTTATTTAGCCATACCCATATACAGGTCTAGTCCACGACCAGTTGAAGAATACGCGCGCGGGCAAACGCCGCGCAAACAGACGCGCACTGGGCGACGGCCATAACTTTCAGTTGTTGACAAATTGCCAAGCAACAATGCAGAATGATTTTATTGTTGTTTATTTTTATTTAATAACTTTTCTAAACAAAAACTAAC